TGAACCCCCTCCTTACTTCTCCAAGAATTGAAAACTCTATAATTTCATGATCACCGTGCCCAAGACAACCTCCAACTGTCACATCACCCACCAGTCCTTCTCTGTTCACAAACAAGAGGTCCAGCCGGGTGCCTTCCCTAGTTGGCTCCCTCACCAGCTGTGTCAGGTGAACATGTCAGGTAATAAACATGAGCAGACTTCTAGAGAATATAGACTGTGAAGGAAAGGTTGAATGACCTTAGGCTGTTTAGCTTAAAAAGAAAGTGATGAAATTCTTCCTGTATGTAAAAGGCTGCTGCTAAGAGGAAGGGAAGTGACACCTGGTTTCTGTCCAGAGTACACAGGGCAAGTAGAAATGGCCTTGAACTGAAACAAGGAAGATTCATGTTACACAGCAAAAAAAACTTGTTAGTAGTAAGAACAGGAAGGACTGGGATAGGCAATGGAGCTACTACTGCTAAAAGGTATTTTGGAACAGGTTGGACAAGCATCCTGTCTGAGATGGAGACAGGGGCTAACCTCTTGGGGCAACTTTTGACTCTATCATTCACCTGCTGGTTGCAGTAGTGCAGATGGAGTTCTTCCACATTGTAAGCTACAGCCACTGGCTGTTCAGTAGTAGAAATGTTATTGGTACTTTTACTAAAGTACTCTGCGCCTTGGCATAAAATGGCCTTTCCAAACAAAACATTTCCAGGAAGCTTAACAACTCAGAAATTAAATAAAAAATTGGAGAGAGCTGAAGGACAGATGGCAAGTTATGTACAGCAGCAGTTGCTAACAAGTTCACCAAACTAAGCTGTAAGAAAAAGTCAGTGCTCAGTCTCCAGTAACGGTATATCATAGAACCAAATAACAACTCAGGTTAGAAAGGACCTCAGAAGATGCACACTTCAGCCTCCTTGCATGTCAGCATGTTTTCAAACTGACTTTGAATACCATAGGGAAAGGTAAGTAATGCTGAAAAAAAACAAGTTCAAAGTAGTGGCTACAGTGAAGAACTTAAAAGTGTGCAAATAAAAGCCTGTAGTAACGATACTGATTGAATTATTGGTGACCATGAACAGACAAAGAGCTAACAAGAAACAAAAAGAAAATAATGCACTCCTTTCCAAAGCCACTCTTCAGTTTGCTCACCTTTTAACATGAGGCTAGTTATTGCAGTGCGGACTATTTGAGGGCTAAGAACTGCTACAGTATCCTACAGGAGACCGAATAGAAGTTGAGAAGGAAAAAAAATGGTACTGGATCTAGCACTTTAAAATGTAACAGAAGTTACTTAGTACAGTTGTGGTATCCACAGAGAAATCATTGCTTTCTGACTCAGGAAATGGTTAGTACCTCGTATGTTTTCTCTTTCTGTAACTCTTAGCTTGGGGTGAGATGCCAGGCAACCTTTCCTAGGCATTCCAGAATAACTGTTAAATGCAATGTCAAACTTGGTAGCAATTTTGGAGATTGAAAGAGTAATTTGACCAATTGATAATCATTACCTTAGAGCAGCAACATATTGTCTCAAATCTAGGTTAATTGCATCAATGCCAAAACTCCAGATATTTTAAATATCTCAGAATAATCATCCATGCAAGTCTGAAAATTATTTTCATCTCTGAAGTATTTGTTTAATAGTTAAGATTGTACTAGGGGCAGAACTGAAACTTAGAATAAAAGAGTTGTCCCCGTAATTTTAGGATGAGATATAGAATAAGGAATTTATATGGCAGAAAAACTGACTTGAAATCTTTTTGACATCTAGGGACTCTAGCACTCATTCTGCAAAGCACACACTTAACTTCTAATATGCACATAAGTCCTAATTAACAAAGCACTTGAGTAGAAGCTTAAGATAAGCACGCTTAAATCCCTTTGAAGCCAACTATTATTGTGCAGCAATTCTTCCAGATGACAAGGCTATCAATTATTTTCCCCAAGAGATGATTTTTTTTCTCTTTCAAACACATACATTGAAAGAGAAAGTGAGAAAAACAAAATACATTGATGTATATTTTGTCATTAGAGGAAACATCCAGTTTACAATCTTTTTCTTCTGCTTAGGAAAAGCTCAAAACCCAACATTATTCTACTTCTCTTTTCTGTAACTACTAGACTTGGAAAATTTAGCAAAGTCAGACAGAACTATCTGCCAAAGAGATGCATGCATTTACCTTAGACAGTGTGTAATTGATGTGTTCTGCTCCACATCAACAGAAAGGTCAAGAAAATCTTCATCTTTGCTACTAACCTGTTGCAAAAAATATACATGTAAAACAGAGACTTAGTAAAATGCCATACATCTAAATGCTGCTTATATCCATGTGCAAATGTTAGAGCAATTTCTGCAGAAATAAATTACACCAAAATAATTAACTTCAATGCTTTTAATTTTTTTTTCTAGTTCAGTGTAACTATATTTATTCATAACTCTACCAATCCAATTTTCATATAATTTAACTTCCATCTGTTCCACTTATCCAAGCCCACCAGCCATGGGCCAGTGACTGCAGTCTATTGTTCATTGAAGGGGGACCATCATCCCCTGTGTTAGCTGTGACTGGTGCATTACATATGTTCCCTTGTTATGCAACACAGCCTGGTTTCTTATTTTACTGGAATTTTATTTACCCTTTGTATAATATATTACACTATATAAATGCAGTTTATGCCCTACATAATTATTTCCACTATTAAGGATGCAATGAAGATATTTTCCAAATAAGCATCTGTCAATAAATGTCATATTTAACCATGTTATGTTTTCTCTCCAGTGAGTACTCAAAAGGCTGGCTTTGGATTTCTGGTCAACACAGCTGCATTTCCCCATTGAATATTGTTCCTCGTCAATAATTTTGATTAAAAAATTAGAAGATTAAAGGTAAAAATGGCAAAGTGATAACATCTTGCAAAATCATTTTGATTTTGCCAATGTTTTTTAGACAGAACAAGAGGAGAAAAATTCTAATAGAGTTTTTATTTAAAAAAGTAACCCCAAACATTTTCAGAATGACAGATCTTGATTTTTGCTTTGAAGATGATTTTTTCACTTGAGTGTTTCATCTTGAAGATGATGTAAAAAAAAAAATCATCCAAACGAATAATTGTTGTAATACTTCAACTGAGTCATAAAGATTGCAGAATTACTTACTGCACATGAATGTAGTCATATTCATAACAACCAATTTTCTTTATAAAATGCTGCACGAACACTTTGTATTTTTCCTCCTGTGGCTGCATTTCCATAGAATAACTAAATCAGATGATAGGATAGTGAAGTTCAAATCAAGAACTTCAGTGAGGGGTTGAATCTATTGTTCTGACGCAAGTCCTTCATGCACAGATTTCTGCAATTCTATGGATGTGAAAGTTATGTACTACTTTCAGCTCATCTTTGCATTATGTCAGGGATCCTATAAACATGGTGAAGGCAGCCCATATTAGTCTTGAATCCAGAGGAACACCTTTAGCAGGATGAATTTTGATATTTTCAAAGATGTACAGAGGCATAATGCACACCCAATTAAAATGGACAGCAGTTCTTCAAACAAAAATCCTCCCTGAGGCATGATTCGACCCACAGGGGACAGGAAACCACAAAACTGGCAGCAATCAACTGCAGTATAAACATACAGCTAGAATTCAAAAGATAAAGCAACAAAGCTTCAGAGAACACTGTGTCTCTACAGCTGGAACTAGAGTTCTGTCAGACACACTGCATATCAAGAGGTTAATACTTGGAAAAGTCTTTGGCAAGTATAGTGTTTCATATGAATACCACAAAGAAGCTAGGAATTTTGTTATTGATTTCAGCACATCAAGCATTTATGGAAAGGGGAAGATGAGCTGGTTGGAGCTAGAATAATACAGACCAAAACTAAAGGTAGCTAGAAAATCAGATTCAAACTGCACTCTTTGTAAGTGAGAATAAGAACTGCTGGAATCTGAATAATTCTTCATGCACTATATATGAATATTTTGGCAAAGGAACATCTTTTAATCCATTTTACTATTTCCCAAAGATTTCAAGATACAATAATACAAGAAAAACCAACTGGAAAATATCCTAAGTAGTAACAGTATTTCTGCATTCACAAGAAGCTACAGACAAGCCTTCCTACAGCAGCAATACCTAGCACTATTTTTTCCATAGAGCTTGGTCACTTTGAACTACAAATAGGGTATTGTGCAGTTTTTCTGTTACCCAAGGACACATCCTGACTTTAGTACAGTTTGTGTGAGTAAACACTGGATACCAATTTAGAATTAGGCCACAACCATTTAAAGGAGCTTGTCAGTTAGAAAATAATTCTACCTTTTCACTTATTGTAACTTGCTATTATTACTCAGGTTTTTATAATTGAAATAGATTAAAGAATTAATTTTCAATCTCTCTCTCATGTTTTCACTTATACAAGCTTGTTCCAAGCTTGGTCCAACCCCTTTTTTCACGTTGACTATCACTGTATCTCTTTCCTGCCCCCTCTCTGACCCAGATCCCTGGAGAAGTCATATTTTCTTGGAGTACAGAGCTATTCTTTATGATTAGAAATATCAGAATATGTTCTTTTGCACATCTGGTAGGACATGGGTAGAGTTTATTTCACCTAACTTCAGCTGTCTGAAGTTAGCTATTTGACCTCAGCTTGCTGTCTGAAGATACCTTCCCTGGGCACCCATTTTAATGCATTTTCTAAATCTAAAGCTGCATTTTCTTTAGAGGCAATCCTTGGTAGCAGTACTGGTCTGAGTTAAAAACACATTATTCTTAGGCCAGATCAGTTTGCTGCCCCAGTTCACAGCATTGCTGCACCAACAATGCAACAGCTCAGTAACACCATGGAACCAGGACAAGCTGTATGGAGCAAGATACCTGATACTGCTAAAAACTTTCTGTTTCATGAAACAGCCTAGAGACAGATGGAGGTTCCTGCAGGAGCTCCTTTGCAATCTCCATCATGTACAGAAGGAGCTGAGAAAACTAGTTCATCCTTGATGCCTGCCTTTTACAAAGCAAAGGTTAGGTGAGGTTAATTCCAACCTTTTCGGAAAGTCAGTGTCACTGTTCTCCCCAAAACAGATTGTTTTCCTGTCTGTGTTACTCTTTCACATAGCAACCTCACAGAGAGAAACTTTTTAAAAAATTATTTCTTTTCCCTTTAAGTAGGAGCATGTGATTGAAAACCACAGAAATCAACAGGAGACTTGCAATCAGGTTTCCTAACTAAAACTAATTTTTACTTATACTTCAAACATAAGAGACTTCAAACTGACGGCATCCTTTAGAAAATATTAGGGAGATAAAAGAAAATATACGGTTTGTTAATAGCAAACCCTCTGTATGCCAGTCACATTCTTAGGATTGATTTAACACAAATTCATCTTAACATTTCACTTATTCATGGAATAATGATATGAATGTCTTCTCCCAAAGTTACAGTAATAAGGAAGGGTATTGATTAACTAGCAAGGATTTTAACTGTAGAGATATGTATCAGGACAGCAAGACTTGGCATAGATTAGCCAAGTAATGCTTAGAAAAACAAATTTTTAGAAAAGAATATACTCACTTCAAGAAGTAAAGTCTACAGGAATATCCACAATTCTCAGATGTCTGAAAAGATTCATATATTTATATATATAAAATGTATCTATCTATTAATGGGTAACAACCAAAAAAAAAAAAATCTATCCCAATGCTTACGGTTTCACAGTTCAAACATCTAGTTTCGTTAGTCAGTGTTCCCTGAAAAATCTCATGCACCCAGGTGAGTTCTTGTTTATTGTTCTCTTCAGCTTCATTCATGTTGCCATTTTTCAGTTTCCCATTTTGCTTTTCCTGTTTCTTCTCCTCCTGCAAAATGTCTGCGATGGTGTTGAGCAGGTAATTTAAAAACTCATGTGCATCCTGCTGCATGTAGTTGTCAAAGAGATCTGTGAAGAAGAGAGTCGAGATTTCTAAAGCTGAGTACATCCTTTTCTTCAAGAAAGCAAACTAAATTAATTATTTCTTTCCAAATACATGCACTGGCTCTTGCTCAGCAAAGTATTTAGAATCATGCCAAAGAAGAGCAGCTTTGCAGTCACACTGGCTTCAGTGAAGCTACTTTGAGGGAAGGCTTCATCTCACCTAACTTTAGCTGTCTGAAAGGTTACGCTTTTCTTTGCAGTTGGTTGTGTAGGCTCCCACTACAGTCAGTGAAGAATGCAACAGGGTGGCTCATGCTGAATTAATTCCTTAGACTAGATGCCTAACTTTTTAGGCAGCACTGACTCTCACCCATATATTCCAAGTCCCTCAGACACTTAGGAACATCACAGATTTTGGACAGTAAGACACATGGCTGGGGAAACTGAAGACGTTGGATGCTAATGCATGCTAGTGTACTGTGTCTGGCTGGGATGGAGTTACCTTTCCTCATAGCAGCCCGTACAGTGGTGTGCTTTGTACGTGTGGCTCGAACGGTGTTGATAATGCACCGATGTTTTGGCTATTGCTGAGCAGTGCTCACACAGCATCAGGACTGTCTCTCCAACACCACCCCTGCCAAAGGCTGGTAGGCTGAGGGTGGGCCAGAGGCTGGGAAGGGACATAACTGGGACAGCTGACCCAAACTGACCAAAGGGATATTCCATGGCGTGTGACTTCATGTTCAGCAATAAAAGCTAAGAGAAAGAAGTGGTGGGGGGACATTCATTATTAAGACATTTGTTTTCCGAAGAAACTCCTATGCATACCAAAGCCTTGCTTCCCAAGCAGCAGCTGGAAATTGCCTGTTGATGGGAGGTAGAGAATAAATCTCCTTTGGTTTTGCTTTGCTTCTGCATGCAGCCTTTGATTTTTTTTTATTAAATTGCCTTTATCTCAATGCACAAGTTTTTTTCATCTTATTTTCTCCCCCTGTACTGCTGAGGAAGGGAGTGAGAGACATGCTTGATGGGCATCTGGCAGCCAGCCAAGGTTAACCCACTGCAAATAGTAATAATAACACCATCTAACAAAGCTCATTTTTCACACACAATTCTGATGAGCAGAGACTTGTCCTCTTCAATAAGAAATGCTTGCAGGAGGAGGGGAGAATATCTCAGTGGTACTTTAGTACAGACTTCTCCAGTAAAAGCTTAATTTGCCCACCATGTTGAAGAAAAAAGAGTCTGGGTTCCCAAGAAATGTGTATTTTTATCCCCCTGCTCCTGAAAAAGCTCACGTGGATTTCCTCAGAAAATATTGCACAGATCCTTCGGCTTTGCAGTGTCTAGCCTGGACACATAAGCAGGTTAATACACACCGAGACTGGCCGTAATTTAAAAAAGCTGAAAACATAAGATCCAGTCCCTAAAAGTGATCCCCAACAGTGTGGGGGCATTTACCACTAGATGACTTAGAGCTAACTTTGTCACACTTTCAAATGCCTGCTTTGGAATGAACAGTGTGCCCATTTATATGCTGCCACCAGGAAGCAATTTCTTCCAGGTGTTCGACTCATACTTTGTCTCTTCATTCAAAGCTCCCCTGTTTCTAAGCATACCACCCACATTGATATGAATCCAGGCCACAATGGAGCTGTGTGGCAGGCTTCCTTATTTCAGGATGTTCCTCATATCCCTTAGACATAACTACTACAAGATTAGGCATATGCTGTTGCCAACCTAATGCTCAAAAAGGGCCTGCTGCTTCACAAAGTAAGACTATGCCCATCACTTCCAAAAACAAGAGCAGTAGTTGACATGTAGTCCACTGAACACCCCCACATACATACAGTTACCTGTCCTCCAGGGTGTTTTGGACTAGTGATGCCTGTAGCACTTCTAGGTCACGCAGTTTCTATACTGTCAACTGCCCTCAATGTTTCTCTTTGCTATACTCCACAAAAAAGTAATTAAAAAAATTACAGCAGAGTGTCACCCTATTCCCAGCCCTACCTCACTGTACAGTGTGGTCTGTCCCACCATGCTGTGAAAACATCATTAATTCATGCACCTCTTGGACCTTATGAAACCTGGTACAGTTATTTCAAGAATAATATCATGTACACAGATACTAAAATATTAATATCTAAACCCAAAAAAGTACTAAAAGCAATTTACAAATCTAACCTGAACATCTGATTAACATGACCACATTGCCCAATATTTGTTTATACTTTCCTGATCAATGTATGAATGTCTAAGAGGATTCCAGTTTTACACTTACCGTTCTCTTTTCGTAACCTTGATATGAACTTCTTTGGTGGAATAACTCCAACTTTCTTCTTCTGAGTAGCAATACTGTGGAAAAGATCTGCCAGGCAAGTCAGGAGATTTTCCTTCTTTTTCTGTTGGGCCTTGTATGATAATACATTTTCCCGAAACGGCCGGCAAAAATACAATGCCTGCAGCACGGAGTTACAGTAGCAGGTGTTTCCAAACTGCCATGTAAAATTAAAAAAATTAAAAACAATCATCTTAATCCCTGTGCATCACAATAAAAGTAGTTGCTTCATTCAATTTCTGGCTTCTGTGCCCCGTCACATACCAGCCATTTAGCCATACAGCTGCTGTAGGAATATATTTCCACACCCACCCCTGACACTTCACAGAAAAAAAACCTATGGTGTTCTAAATTAACTAGGATACAAAGTAAAAGTTTCCACTTGCAAGAGATATATTTATTGTAGTGGATCTTGTTAAGCTTGTTTCCATACATTAATATACTCTTGCTCAGCATTATCTTACTGCTCAGTAGCAGAATGACTAATGTTTTCAATGGAAAGAATTACTGTATCTGTTTTATTTATATGGGAATAAACAAGCGATTAAACACCCTTCTCCTTAGTCAGATAAAAAAGCTCCTCCCCAGAGAGTCCCCAATGCAGACTGCTGTACCTAGGCTTGTACATACTTCCATCACTTCCTCCCTCACATTTCAGAGCTAAAATAGAGCTTTAACTTTATTGAAGTGTAAGTTTTACTCCCTGGAAACATTCATGAACAGTAAATTGTTTTTCCTGGGGGCGTATGAAGCTATCTTCAAACATCTGATACAGTTTTGCAACCCACTTTGCCTAAAATTGGAATGTGAGCAGCACTTTTTCAAAAAAAGACAATCCTGCCTTTGAACAGGATGGGGGTGGGGTGGGGAAAGAAAAGAAACCAAAGTTCAAGTAACATCAAAGTCATAGTTCTGTATATGGTTTGCCTACTGAAAATGGTACTTACATTGACCAATCCAAAGTAGTGTTCATTGATTGGAAACTGCTCTGGGCCAATGTCTTTTTCCAGAGCAGAGGCATTGGTGCCCTATAAAAAAAGAAGGAAGAAATTATTTAGAATATTAAGATTCTAAAATAAATTTATGGACAGCATCAAGACAGAAACTCACTTTTTCCTTTCAGCTACAATTAGCCAAGCTAACTCTTACTAATAGGCAAGTACAACGGTCACGTGAGCCAATAAAAATATTTGCAGTTCTAGGTAGTGGAGCTGGCCTGACCTGGACATTCTAGTAATGGCTGATTAGAAGTGAACAGGTCACAACAACAGTGGTTCTCCCCACACCAACCTCCCCCTTATTTTTACTGTGTACATGAACAGCTGGATCCCATTACCCTCTTGCCTCATAGACATACTTGCTAATCTTAAGCAAAACCCTTAAAGTTATCTTGCATAAACCAGTTAGATGTAAGGCAGGTTTTCTAAGCATTACTGAAACTCCTCTGAACCCCTTCTAATTCATCAGCAGCCTTTAACAATACTGGGCTCCAGGCCGGCACCCAGCTCTAGTAACAACATCACAAACATTAAAAGCAAGTGTAATATATCTGCCATTTTGTCCTACCTAACATCAAAGGGTGCATAAGCCCAAGCACTGTTACATCTCTTAGTCACTGCCTTGATGTGGCGAGTTATGTTCAGCTGTATCTTCAACAACAAAGTTGCTTTCACAACTACTGGTCTGGGAAGTTCAACCACTAATTTTGTATGTTACCTGTAGTTTTGCTATATTTAAATGCCCATTTTTAAACAAGCTTAGATTACAAAGCAAGCAAGCAAGCTAGGCTGCTGCCAAAGCAAACGGCATCACTCCTATCCACTCTATAAGCACGTAGATCCCTGTAGGACCTCACAAAAAAATGCTGTATTTGGACAAGTATTCCCTACATACATTTATTCAAGACCTATCAGTTAGCCAATTTTTAATCTGCATTATAATTGCTTTACTGACATTATACATTTATTTCCTTACTGAGCATGCTCTGCAGTGTGAAGAATTAATATATTACACCTTGGAATTTCCATCACACCAGAACAGCACAGTTGGTTGACTTTCATAAAACCATGTAAAATGCCCCTGTAAACATGCCAACACATAAAACATCTGAAAATTTCTGAAATTCCCTGTGTTCCTGAGGTTTGTTCAATGTATCATTTGCTTAGAGACTTGGCTCAGATCGGCTAAAATTTTCAAAGTTACTGGTAATCAAATTCAATAATTCTCGCATCCCGTCTCTGTCTTCTCCCCAAAGCCTGATTTGTGTTTCCTTACTGCTTGCTTGCTATATTAGACGATTATTTCATGTCAAATTATCAAAAGAAGATGATTTTAGTCAACAGAATCAGCGGTGTGAAACTCAGCACAGGTGCTCTTCGAGAATTTGCAAGCCTTGAAAGTAAAACAGCTCCTTCAAGTTGGCAGCTTCCAGAAAAGCTCCAAAGATTTTGTATTTCACATCCTCTTATCAGATCTCTTTCCAGTCTCCCCCTTTCTCTCACATACACATAGCTCATTGCTTAGACCAAGCGTATGTGATTTCCAAGGCATTCCCTTTGAGACTGAAGTACTTTACCTGCGCAAGGCTCCATGCAAAGCTTGAGGGATACGTTACATGTCCTCACTGGGCTCTGCTAAGCCTCAGAGAGAAACTTGGAAAAAGGAATGATCTGTACAAAGCAATTATTGGCTACCTTTCAAGGGAGAGGACAGTGTGATAACTATGTAAGTTCCATATGAAGATTAGTTTCTTTGCTTGGAAAGTCAGCCTTGCCAAAGATGCACAGATTCAGCAAAGCATCCAACTTCTCAAGAGGGAGGAAACTGATAGACATTTGCCTATCTGATATTAACAGAGAAGCAAACAGCCCCTGTTACCCTCAAAACCTTGCCTGATAAAAGAAAAACATGACTACAGAAGATTAATGCAGCTTCTGAAAAAAACCATCTTCATGTTAATACTCATTGTACAGCAATCAGATCAAAGCAAAGATTTTCTTCGATTACATATTTCCCGTTCAAATCAAGTTCTTTCTTTAACATAAAAATGAAATGAGTGTTTTTCCAGTTTTGCAGGAAGTATTTTCCACACTGAAAAAAATTCTCACTCTAGAATCAATGGAAGATAATATCTCTAAAAAGTAACCAACCTCCTACTCTTTCATAAACTACAGGTTAGTGTATGCTGTTAGACAAGTAGAATGCAAGTGCTCTGCTAACTAGTTGCTCCTACATTATTCATTTGCCTTTCCTCCAGGGCCAGGGTTTCTTACTTCTGAGGATGCCAGATGGTTTGACAAATCCTTTCTAGCATTTAAATTGTCTTGTAAATATTGTGAGAAAGAGCAAGAATCAGGATTTACCAAACAAAATTACCACTGAAAACCAAACAAATCCATGATGTGCACTAACTGATGTTCATACAAAAACTATACATTGCATGGAAATTTCTGAAGTACATGCTGTTGAAACAACATATGCTTAGTTACAGCTCATCATAGAGCTTTACCTCTCCAAAACCAGGCCTTGGCTGTTGGAAATACAAAATGAAGCACTGTGTGCCAGTTTCCCAATAAAGCAGTGAGGCTAATTTCAGTCTTTGGGTAAACTGACATAACTCCCATGAACTTTATATTAGGAGTTGGGCCTTCTTACATCAAGGCCAATTTCAGTCTGATTTATTTTAAGGTCTCCAAAAAGTTAAATTGATAGAAAAAGAAGAGTAGGAAAACAGGTAAGAAGCACAGAGACCTAATCCTTCAAAGCAGGGTATATTTCTTACATGGAGAAAAAAAATGTAGGCGGACTATTTAGTAAACTCAAACCATGCCACATTGCATATATATTACGTTTTGCATATGAAGTCTCCTCAAGAAGCAGTTGATATGATGGCAGAAGAAATGATTGGAAATCTTTCCAACCAAAATATACCAGAAACTGTACACCCACGCCAGGTTTGAACTGGAAAAAATACGTTATTAAAGATGTGTTAAAGATGATTCAGAACTCAGTTTAAACCAACCATATCAAATATAAAAAACATGTTCGCCTATTGAGGTTAATCTACAACAAAAATCAACCATGACTATTTACCATGGTTTTAACCATGGTTGTGCTTGTTCCCACTCTCACGCTAGCCATTTTGGCCACTTCTGCAGTCTCAAACATTTTTAATGCAATCCATTCTCTATGGTTTTATAAACGGTCCTGTGCTTCAGCTAGGAGAAATATCCTACCACAGCTGAATCTACTGTAGTTTCATAAAAAACAGCAAGAGTGGCAGTTTGCCCACAGAGCCTGAAATGAGGAGAGACCACATAAGTCAATGAACTGGGATCTGGGACTATTAAATAAATTCATATCAGGGTCTAGAGACAATAAAGGAGACTGGGTCCTTCTTCAAAGAATACACTAATGAAGGAAATACAACAAAGTGACTGTGGTGGCCAGACCTTATGAGAATGAGAACTATGTCAATGTGGAAACTCCTACTATGTATTCCGTGGTGTTGGTGAACCTTGATTTCTCTGAAGTATTACCACTTAATTCAACAATCAGTATTCACCACTTAATTCAACAACCAGTATTCAGACCTTATAAAATGGCAAAGACATACAGTTGGAGACATAGCCAAGCATGGGCCAATGCAGGCTAAGCCAAGATTTCTACCACAGCATCGCTCCAAAAATATTCTGGCCATATGACCTATATTATTTCCTCTTGTTATTTTGCTCTAGGCCTTCCAATGGATAAGTCTGCCAGTTTTCTTTTCAGCTGAAATTTCTGATAATGTTGCTAAGAGTTTAATTTGTGCTTTGCATCACATGAAACAGATTAAGTGAAAAAAAACCTCCTGTTCCTTTACCGTTTAGCACGTAAACAAAATAACAGTGCAGGGGAAAAAAAAAAAAAAAGACATCAGATTAGATCATTAAATCACATGTAGCAAAATAACCTAAATACAATTATTCTATGGGGGATGAGAAATGGATTAGAGCTAATATGAAAGATACTGCAAGCAGAAGACCGCAAATCAGACTAGACTTTCTAGTGTGATAGAGCTATAAAAAATGGTGCTAACTTTGTCGAAATATGCATGTGCTTAATTTAAAGTAAATGAGTGCAGTAAAGAAATTAGGACATTTCGTAAGTCACCTGTGGAAAACCTACTAAATTGGTATTGCCAAATAAACATAAACACAGTATGAATAACCATCAAACAATAAAATACAAAATAAGAAATAACAAGAAATATCTTGTTCACAAGAAAATCTAAAAAATATAAGAAAAAACACACAAAAATTTAACGGTGAAAACAGAAATTTAACAAATATATAAGGAACAAGAGATCAATGAAGGAAGATGGCTGGTCCATGATGAAGGGCTTCAGATCATATACAGCTGTGAACAAGATTTTTTTTTTTCCTTAGTATTCAGGGAAAGTGAGAGCAACGTGCTAGAAATAGAGTTGTTTCCTGAAGGGAGAAACTGAAGACTTGAGACAAACTAAGGGTGATGTCTGAGCTGGTAGAAGAGAAATTAGAATAAAAATAGGAATGGCTTCAGGGCCAGGCATCCTGAGTTTCAGGATTTTGGAAGACACAGCATGTGGGAGAAAAGGGAAAAGGAAGGTAAAGAAAGATGTGGAAGGCTTCCTGGCCACCGAATGGCAGTGATGGATAACTCAAAAGAGAGAAAGCAACGGTAAATAAAATCCAAACTTAGCTCCCAGAAGCAACACAAAGAAAACGAGAGTGAGAGAAGAGCAAGCAATATCACACCATGCAGTATATATGCAACTGCTTTCAATAGACACATCACCTGTCCCCGGTGTTGGACTTCGACTATCCTCAGGGACAACCTCAACTTTGGTATGGTGAGTAATTGGAACACCTGAACCAGCCTTCTTCCAAACTCATAGATATTAAATGTCAAACCTGAAATGTTTCTGTAATTTTTAAAGTGTAAGTCCCACAAGAATTTAACCAGATGATTAGCTTTTTTTCTTTCTGCAAAGAAATGTTTTATT